CCTCATTTTCATCTCATGGATGCCAACGGTATGTTGCCTATCCGCAATGGCCTGGCTCACTACTGAGTTCTGTGGTGGGTTTTTGTTGCAAACGATTTGGTTGGTGTTCGTTGGTTCAGCGGATCTGTCGACATAATACCCTTCACCTTACCAAAGTGTCCGCCGACAAACGACCCCGGTTGGCTTGGTTTGGGGCTATGGTTCAGCCTTCCTTCTCTGTGTGTATACTGTTCGGTGTTGTGGCCGGCCTCATCAACACCGTCGTCGCTCCACCCAACAACCATCCTCCATCAGCTTTGTCGCCCATAAATTCTCCCATTAACATCATTAATTTTCTTTCCGCATCTTAATATTTGTTTTAATGTTTTTGACGCTTTCTAATGATATTCAAACAAAGTTGGTTTTGATGTTATATAGGCTTTTTAATGCTTTGAATAGATGATAATAATTATGAGGGTCAGAAACTTTACTGTGATGATAATACATTGTTTGATTGGACAAAAAGCTTATGACGTGTTTGTTGTTTTTTCCCTGTCATTTTTTTCTTTATTATTCTATTTTATTCTTTCTTTACAGTTTAATCAAGCTTATTCAGTAGTAATTAAAAGTATAACTGTCGACTACTACGTAAAGAATTAGTAATGGTACAAATAGTTAACACATTAACACAGTGTATATATTTTCTTTGCTTCTGCAACGACTTCAGACTGTTTAATATAACATCAATGACGACAATTCTTGGTCAACTATTGGATATCTGTGAATAGCAGCATTAGCCTTTTTTTGTTTCTGTATATATGTTCTTGAATACCGCTAATAAAGTGTTCTAAATTATAACTTTTTTTTGCTTTTTTTTGTAGACTGAAAAATAAAATTTACTGATATTGTAAATTAAGTTTATGGTATGTTTTTTCTAGATTCTAACTTCTATATCTAAGGGTTTGTTTGGTCACTGTTTTTCTTGGTTGCTAATAAAAACTGTTATATTTAATAAACTAATAATGGCGTTTCTCCACTAACGAGAATGAAGAGTGGAGGAAGTAAGGAGGCGAGGGAGAGGGCAACAGAAGTAAGAAAGGAATTACGGCTGAGAGGGAAGGAAAAAAAGGAAAGAAGAGGGGAAAAAAGGGTTCTAATTTTTGCAGCTCCTACTAAATTACTATCATTTTCATATCAAAATTTATGGCATATCATCAAATTACAAATAGACGAAGAAAATTATTGTTCATTTTTTTTTTGCTTCTCATTTTTTAATTACAGCTAATTCTGCTAAAGGGTCTGCAGAAGTGGAGAATATTTATAAGAATCAAGTAAAATGAACAGTGATGTTGCTTGAAATATTTGTTTTTTTTCTTTCATACGGGATGTTTTTTTTTTTTTTTGAGATCAGTTTATGACGTCTTTGCAGACTGGGCGATAGTGCTGTTGCGCAGACTGTATATCAGAACGATAAGATGCTCGGATACTGTTTTTTGCAGCGATAAATCAGACGATTTTTTTTTGTTTAACAGTTAAAAAACGGAATAAAGACACTTTTTTGTAAAGAGGCAAGAACGGGTCTGTCGGAAAAGTGAACAGTTTTGACAGTAGAATATGCTTTGTAAATTTAGATTTGGTATAGCTTAAGTGGGCTTTTTTTTGATCAAATAACTTAATGTTAAGCTTAAAGTTTGTTAGTTATCTCAGAATAATATTAAAAAAGGACGGACTATCGAAGAAGTTGTAATTCTTTTTTTATTTTTTCTTTGTTGTCTTTTTCTCCTGTTTAAACGGTTTTTTCTTCCTGCTTTTTGTTATTTAACTCTGTACCAAAATAATTGATGAGCCTCTGTTACTTGTTTAAAAATGTCTTTTTGTTTAGTTGACAAGTTTTTACTGCTCTTTCTATTTAGCTAAAATATTTGCCCAGTATTTGCTTGGTTGTTAATTTTCATCATCATATTTACTCTTTTCATGAAATACATTGAACAAGGCCACTTGCAACACCACCACCATCATCATCACCGTCACCGATACCACTATCATATTATCACCATTACTCAGATCGTTGTCATTGTTCCGTTCGTTTCTATCTGCTTAAACACAGTTTTTCCACTGGTCTATGATCGAAGAGGATTTTGTTTCATCGATAGTTACAATCATCAAATAGAGCAATCAAAGGAAAAAAAAATTGAAGTTAAAAAATGAAGAAAACTTTGTATTAATCCAAAATATAGGAAAAAAAAAAGAAAATAAATTTTTTTTTTCACTTTTTTCTTCTCAACTTTTGTGTACAAAAATAAATTAGTGTTTTAAATTTATTGGTATTGTTTCGTATCGTCGTTATTCTTTCGTTGTTCACAGGGCACTTTTTTCACCACCGACACCACCTTTTTCTTCATCATTCCTCATTCTTCTTTCTTTCTTTCTTTCTTTCTTTCTTTCTTTCTTTCTTTCTTCCATCTTTTTCTTCTTTCTTTTTCAGGTTATTTCTTCTCATTAGTCTTTTTCATCTCTTTTTTTTTCCTTCTCTCCTATCCCCTTACCCCCGTCTTTTTTTTTTTGTATAGATCTGAAGTGCTGCTGTACAGTTCAACGTCTATGCTTTTTTTTTTTTTAATTAAAGACTTGAGTTTTTTTTTCTTTTATGTTGTTAAGCAAACGTTGTTCTGTATTTGTGTTCGTTTGTGTGTGTGTGTGTGTTTGTTTGTTTGTTTGTTTGTGCGCATATATATCACTAACAAATTCTTTTACACCACATATATTTATTGGTCTTCTGTTTCTTTCAGCCTTTAAAATTTATGTTACGAAAATTTTTTTTTATGGTTTTATAATTTAAATATAGGTAAATATTCATATCTGCAAGAAAAAAAAAAAGAAGAGAATGTGTAACAGGGCAAAGTTGGAAGGTAGGAATGGATAAATAAAACAAACAAACAAGCGACAGTAATGATTATTTTTACGATTTATTCTCAGCATTTAAAACAACTGTCTAACTGATGGTAATAAACGGAACGGTAGCAATAATAATGGTAATAATAATTTATAACTGTCGACTATTATGTGATAATAATGATATATATATATATATATATATATATATATATATA